GGCCAAGGCGGGTAGATCACCTGAGGGCAGGAATTTGAGACCAGCCTGGCCAACATGGTGAAAACTGGTGTCTACTAAAAATACAAAAGTTAGCTGGGCATAGTGGCACACCTGTAATCCCAGCTACTTGGAAGGCTGAGGCAGGAGAATTGCTTGAACTCGGGAGGTGGAGGTTGCAGTGAACTGAGACTGTGCCACTGCAGATTCCGTCTCAGACAAATTAAAAACACACTGGCTTTATATAAATAAAGCACAATATTACACACATGTGCACATACACAAATAAATGCATGCACACACACAATTCCATCCCCCCCCCCCCCAAAAAAATAACAAATCCCATTTTTGATTTGGAAGTACCTTTACTCTGAATAGGAGATGTCCACCTCAGGAAGCAATCACATTGCCCATGTTGCTTTGTTCTGTAGTTGCTGCCTTACTTGGAAGTTCTTCCTTTAGAGCTGTGACATCAAGAAAATCTACCTCTGATCATGCTAGGATTGCTGAATATTAAAATCAGACTTGAATATAACAAAACATTTTTATGTCTGCTCCTCCCACAGCCACACACACACACACACACACACACACACACACACACACACACACACACAAATTTTCATACATTCAACTATATACCTTCTTACTGAAGCAGTCTCTTTGCATAAAATGAATCGAAACTTATGAAGCCAATCATCTGAGACTTGGAAATCAGAAAAGTGGGATTATAGAGAGCATTTTTGGGTTCTTTTTTTCATAGTTCTGTGATGTTTTGGATGGTAGAAAGCAAAAGGGAGAAGGTGCCAGGAATGTATATGTGCAAACAAGTAAGTTTATGTTAGAGGCATAATTTTAAAGTATTCTTTGTGGTCAGAAATGCTGTTGCTAATTGTATAATTTTCTATATTTCCCCAGGTGAACAAGTTTGCTTTGTTGTCTCTGGCCTTTTATGCAATGTAAAACGACTAGCAGTTTCTAGCCCTACACTAAAGCTTATTTATATTTAAATTCGTGATTCCAAACTTTAAATGTATAACATCATGTTAATTTTGTAACATCAATGCTTTTCTTAAAAATTTCAATGTATTTATATTGTTACTTGTATTACACAGTTCTCTTTAAGAAATCTTAGAGGGATAAGTGTCTTATCTCTTTTTTAAAAGATCAGCTTGGAATCTTCTACTTCAACCATATCTGTAGTAAAATATAGCATTGTTTCTAACTTTATTTGGCAATATAAAAATTGAGTATGTCTTGTGGTCTCCATTTATATAACCAGCATCGAGGAAAAAGAGTATTTGCTGGGTATACAGTGTGAGTATAGCTCTTACTTTGAATACTTTAGACATTATGTGATTTTAGTCCAGGAGACAACTTTATACTACTTCACTAGCAGAAACACTACTATTATTTTTACTGACCTGTCAATACCACCAACTTAATAGTAAATAAAAGCACGTATATATAGAATTCATTATGAGACTATAAAATATATACAACTTTTATATTTCCAAATAAAAGTAGGTAATACTGTATTCTCTTGTAGATGTGTTTGAGGCAATTTCACACGGATTTTTTTTAAACATACAGACACACTCTATAAAAGAATTGTGGAGTATATATGTAATTGTGGAGTATATATGTTCAAAGAACCTATCTATCATATATTAACTCATGTAATACTCATAATTCTATGGCATAAGTACTATTTTTTTATCTACATGTAAGCAATCTGAGACCCAGAGATGTTAAGTAACTTCCTAAGGTCTAGAGATGAATCTTCCTCTCCTATGTACCATGTTTCTTTTGCCTTTGCTTATTTTACAATGTGTGGTATGTAGCCAGTCTAGTGGCCATGCTAGGATTTCAAGCCCAGCAGTCTGGCTTCTGAGTCTATGCACTTCACATCAAAGCTGTACACTCTTCCATTTCATTTATTTATATTTCCATCCTTCATCACATAATTTACTGGAAGTACCTTGCTTTAATAATCAACATTTCAAAAAAGGCTGTTTTTTGCAACTTTTCCACTAAAAAGTTCCTATTTTAGTAAAGTTTGGTAATTTCTTTTTAGAACGTTCTTGAATACATTTGTTCAAAGACCTGAAACTCATAGATAACTTATCAAAAAGTAGTAACTAATTGAACAGTTCTTCCTGGTATCACAACACTTGACTTTGTATCGCTCTCAAAAGTGAAACTCTTTGCCCAGTTATGAGTAGTTTTTCCTAGAACATTCAAACAGTAATAAGAAGTGTATCCACATTTGATTAAACTCATCTCTTTGCCCCAGGATGTCAGAGGAAATTTTAAACATTGCCAATAATGATTATTCTACTTAACAGTGAGAAGACACTTATCATTTTTTTACTTGTCAAAATAAGTGAGTTTAATATGGTTTTATAAATTGAGTCTGTCATAAGTCTTCAAAATTGTAAGAGCTAAGTCTTCCATTACTCTACATAGATTATCCCTTGCAATAAATTATATTACCAGGTAACTGCATCTAAACTCTAGAAGGAATTAGTGTATAATCCTATAGGGTCTATCAGGAAACTGTGTTTGAATATATCTTATTGATAATATACTAATGTCTTCTTAAATTAGGTTTTTTAGCATTTTACATTTTATAGTTACAAACTTTTTTAGGTTAAAAGAGTCTTGTGAAAGGTTGCGATCTGAATGCTCTGTTTATTGTTAGAGGACACTACTGTGTTCTTTTGCCACCAATGAATGTTTTGGTCATATTTAATATATATTTAATGTATGTCAGTAAACAAGCACACACAAGGCATACGATTTGCAAAGAATGGATGTTAGATTTTGATCACAAAAGGTATTTTTTACAAAGATTACCTCAAGATTTGTTAGAGTTGTAAAATATGATTCCAAAAGACACCCTTACCTTATAAAATAAGGCAAATGGAAAACTTCACCAGAGATATTTTCTTTAGAAGCAAATAATTCCAAATATGAATGTGCTTACATAGGTAATAACTTTCGTTGTCATAAGCTTATTTACATTATTCCAACATCTAGGACTTTAGCCAGTTTTTATGTTCAGCTAATTCTGAATGAATTTATTCCTGGCATGGCCCCTTTACTCCATTATAGGCAGAGCTCTGAACCAATTCCAGGATTTAATTCAGAAGTTACATATTTAATGTATTATATGAAAAGCTTTATAGGATTGGGTTCAATATTGACAACACTCCTAAGAATATTAGACATTTCTGTAATATCTGTTTGTTTTGACATTGTTTTCTGTTTAACAAGGCAGTATTCCTCTTACAATATTGATAAATTCATTTTTGTAAAACTTGTTCTTTCTTCCTCCCAATTTTAAATTATTTCTTGAAAACTATTATTTTTCATACCTATTTGCCTCTAGAAGCAGTTGTTCATGATTGAGGCATATTTTCCCTTGTAGAAATTCACAACTGTGAAGATAAAGTTTCCCAGTGAGTTAATAAATGGGCATTCATCACAATTCTCTAGGGTCAAAGACTGAGTTTGTTGTTCTCAGTGCTAATAGAACCAAATCACCTGCAATTGAATATTTAACATGTTGGAAAGCCAAACCAACTAAAGGTCTTCTTTTTTGTAATGAGTAATTTGATTCAGTGAAAGCTTCTTGAAGCATGCAGTAAAAATAAAACTCATGGGCATCATTTCCTAAATCATGTAGCTTTACTCAGTGTCTGTTGAGCTGACAAATGTGAAGCCTTTTGCTATGCTCACCAATTTGTTGTGTTAACTCCCCTTGTTATACTTTCCTTATTAATCCTATTCATAAAAATCCCATGATTGGGGAAAACCAACCCGTTAGGGAGTCACTGCTGTCAGTCTAATCTAAGCCACTATCAATAACTTTCTTACTGGTACTGGTATCCCTGCTTTTACCTTGTCTTAACTATTACGTGTACCGTGAAGACATGGAAGCCAACCTGCCTGGGTTTAAATCCTAGCTCTGCAGTAGCTATATCACCAGTTCCTTAAACAACTGGTATAAGAGCTATGAAATGCTTCATGCATATGGTAACTAGAGCAACCCTTGTAAAATGTCAGATGCTAATCCCTTGGTTGACGTCCTCTAAATAACTTCAAATGTAAAAATTAATAAAATCCAAACTACTTCTCATTTTATCCCCCATGTTCCAGTTACACTGTACTCGTCCCCAGAGATACTAAGCAGTTCTACCTCAAGACTTTTGCACTTGCAATTCCTTCTTCCTGGAACACTTTTTCAGATTTTTGCATTGCTCACTTCCTCAGGAAGCTGCTCAAATATTAAGAGTCCTTCTTCATCCAAGATAGCACACTCCCAGCACACATATCCTCAATTCATTAGTCTCTTGCTTCATTTTTTTTTTTTTGCCATAAAGCAGTCATTGCCACTGACTTTATATGGTTTAGTGCCTTTCTCTCTAAACTGGAAACAAGGATTTTATTTATTGTGCTCCTAAGCACAAGTATTTTATTTTGGTCATTCCTGTAGTCTCAGCACCTAGACCACCATCTGGCACTGGTAGTTCTTAGCAAATATTTGCTGAATAGATGCTGTATTTAAAAAAAGTTTTATTTTCCCCTAAGGACTACTGAGAACGTTAACTTACTATGCTTTTTTTGGTTTGTTTTTCACAGTATGAACCTAATATTTCCTACTCCCATACTTTCACTTAATCCAGATCATCTCATTAGGTCACCACTCACTTAAAAAAACTTGGGCATTTCTAAACAAAGAGTAGGTTCTTGTTCGCAAAGCGTAAACAAGTATAACAAAAAATGTTATTGTTTTCAAGGGGGAGTGTTAAATACTATCAGTAAATTAAATTTTAGATGAAACAGCCATATTTTTCAAACATTCTGTTTTAATATATATATACCTATAAAGATCTATGGAGATTTCACATTAGATCATGAATGGGTAGTACTTTGATTACAGAATATATATACACAGAGAGAGAGTTACAATTAAGTTTTTCTTTTCTCTTTTACAGGTTAATGACTCCAGAGGGTAAGATCAGATTCGTTCACAAAGAGATGGGCATAATACCAAGCTGGGGTGGCACCACTCGGCTAGTTGAAATAATCGGAAGTAGACAAGCTCTCAAAGTGTTGAGTGGGGCCCTTAAACTGGATTCAAAAAACGCTCTAAACATAGGAATGGTTGAAGAGGTCTTGCAGTCTTCAGATGAAGCTAAATCTCTAGAAGAGGCACAAGAATGGCTAAGGCAATTTATCCAAGGGCCACCAGAAGTAATTAGAGCTTTGAAGAAATCTGTTTCTTCAGGCAGAGAGCTATATTTGGAGGAAGCATTACAGAATGAAAGAGATCTTTTAGGAACAGTTTGGGGTGGACCTGCAAATTTAGAGGCTATTGCTAAGAAAGGAAAATTTAATAAATAACTTGTTTTTCATGTGGATGTATTCCAAGTAAAGCTTCAGTAACTAATATGTAATAAATAAATATGAATATCAGAATTACTTTGAAGGCTACTATTAATATGCAGACATCTTTTGAATATTGAACTCATTCACCTTATTTCTTACCAGTTACTCACTTGGATATTTACTGTGTAATCTGGAACATTTAGATAAAATATACACTTTTAGCTTAAAACTTATTGCTGTCAATTTCAATAATAATTCTTAGCCTATAACCAAAGAGCAGTGTTTAAAAGGAAAAGCTTCTATACCAAACCTATTCCTGGTGTTACTTTTCATAAAATTTTTGTTGTCTTACCTGGAAATAATTTACCAAAATAATTGAATGAGTGTTGCTGTTAAAGAACAAAAGTGGAAAGGATCAGGGAACAAGAAAATAGGAAAGGACATGATCAGTTATTTTCTTCTGCTCCAAACAGCTGGAATAAAATTCAAAAGACGTACCTCACTACCCACTACAAATTTGGAACTTTATTTGATCTTTTCAGTAATTAGTTTTCTATTTTAAATTATCTATTAGGCCAGGTATGGAGGCTCACTCCTGTAGTCCCAGCACGTTGGGAGGCCAAAGTGGGCGGATCACGAGGTCAGGAGTTCAAGACCAGCCTGACCAACATGGTGAAACCCCGTCTCTGCTAAAAATACAAAAATTAGCCAGGCGTGGTGGCATGCACCTGTAATCCTAGCTACTCAGGAGGCTGAGGCAGGAGAATCAACTTGAATCCAGGAGGTGGAGGTTGCAGTGAGCTGAGACCATGCCACTGTACTCTAGCCTGGGTGACAGAACGAGATTCCGTCTCAAAAAAAAAAAAATATATATATATACACACACACACACACACATATAATATCTAATATATATATATATATATATATATCTAATATACACACACACACACACACACACACACACACACACACATACATCTACTAAACAGTGGTAGCCATGTCATGGAGAGTCAACTGATTCTACAAATTGGACATTCATTTGTGTGCCCTGGAATTTCCAACTAGTAATAAACAACTACTGTTGATGTAATTTTAAAATTGAAACCACTTGGATTCATGAAGTATCCTGCAACATAAATTTGCATTTTATATCAGATTTCTATATTTTCCTGAAAAGCAACCTTTCTTCTTGTATAACTATCTTTCAAAAGTAAATGTAATAAAAATGTACAACATAAAATTTTTATGATCATCCCAGTAATACTTTTTAAAAAATGTGTAAGTCAAAGAATTAAGTTTTAGTTCTGATGCATCACAAGACGTAAGAAGTATTTGCTACTGTAACGTTCAATTCACACTGCATTTGCTTTATCATCAAGATCCTACTGTTGAGTTAGGAAAATATGGTAAGACAGACTCATGTTACTTATTTTCAGAGGTAAATTCTAGATTACTGTGTCAACCCAATACTTGGCCATGGATGTTGTAACTACCAAATAAAAGTGGATTTTGTGGTCTACAACATTTTGTGTAAAGTGAATTCATGTCTTCTAACACTGTAAGTCTGCCGTTTAATCCAGACTGTTAGACCACTAATGAATATGGTAAGGAAAAGAAAAAATATTAATGGTATCAGCTATTTGAGGAATTTAAGTCTCACAGGCTTTAGGTTTATTTCCATACATATTTATTATACACACACTGCTTATAGATTCTATTTAATCTCTAAGAAAAAAAATCAAACTTCTGAGCAGGTGATTAAGCTGAAAACAACTAATTCAGACTACCACTTTGTAAAGTGACCTTTGGTCACAAATGTCAAAATATTTCCACACCTTTCCACACTCAAACAAGAGACTTGTTTTTGATAAACTCTAGTATTTATTAAATTATAAATTTTGTAATCAAAAAGAAAACTGCAGACCAAAAAAAACCTCAAATTATAAGACACGACAGCAAAGCCTATGGGAACGCCATGAAGTGTGTTACAAAGATTCTGAAACATTTAAGTTACTGGCTGTTTTCATCTCCATTTCAATAACTTTACTATAAAATAGTTGTTATTCATCTATTTTAAAATCCCAAATTCACATCTATTCTTACATTAAATTACGCTTCCTGCTTATGATATCAAACATCTCACAGGTGCCAAATTTTAGTAATGGTCTTAATGCCAATCCATGCAGAAAAATAAGACACAATGCAAGAGTCAGATGAGGACCATTAATGCACAGATAATACAAACACACTGGCCAAAAGAACTAAAGAAGTTTTTTAAAAACTATAAAGTAAACAGACCTCAAGAAAACTGGGTTATTACTAAATGGCTCTCAACTATTAACACCCAAGTTCCTTACATTAAATAAATTTCTCAACAGAGACGTGTTAGACATTTTAATTACGGGTCTATCCTTCCCATACCCCTTCCCACCCCAACTCCCAAAATGCACTACTAGGGATGAGTATAATGTTATGTGGGCAGAAATTTACAGGTAACCCTTTCAACCTTGAGCATGGAGCTGAAGACATTATTTAAACTTCAGTTACTGTGCACTGTCCATCAGGCCTTCTAGATCTGACACTGACACTCACTGTTCCACCCCCTGCTACTGATCGATCAGTTCCCGATCGATCTGATCGATCAGGTACTGTCTGGTTTGCATTAGAAACCAAAAGTCTCTGTTGGGTCAAGGAGTGCTGTGCAACAACCGCAGATACATCCTCACTATCACTACTGGCATCTGATTCAGTTTCTTCAATGGAGTTGTCTGGTGCTGGTACCCTGCCTGAAGACGGTGATTCATGATCTTCTTCTCCTTCTCCCCTATGACTCCTTTCAGCTATGTTGTCTCCACTGAGTTGTAAATGAGCAAAAGAGTCTTCCAGTGAAGTGCTTGCATCAGGGGATGGTGTTGCAGGGCTTGTTAACTGACCATCTACTGACGTTAGGGGCCTTACAGAAGACACTAGGGGCTGAACAGAAGCTCCACTCTGTACTGATACACTGTCCGCTCCATCGGCAGAGCTCTCTCTTGCTAGGTTTACAGTATTAGCGTCACAGTCTAGCCTAAGTCCGGCCACTCCCTTCTTTGGTATATCTATTATATCTCGCTTAATCTTCCTGCGACGTCCATGTTCATTTCTCCTATATTGAACCATATTTTCAAGATCAGCGACATACAGAAACCCAGCAATTAACATTTCAGTGTTCTTTTTACCTTTGGAAAAAGCATCTTCCAGCTCTCTACTAGTGCGCTCATCGTACTGCCACCACCCATTTCTTCCTTCATAATACCATGCATATTCACCATTTCCTCTACTTGCTGCCTTGAGTTCTTCTGGTGACAACAAGGTTGGCTTGTCAAGGAAATCCTCGGGAATTTCTTGTCGACAAAGAGCACATCGCTTTCCAAGCCATGAAGCTCCTTTTACACACAGATAGCAGAAAACGTGCTTACAGGGCAGACTGACTGGATGAACACATGTTTGCAGACAAATGGCACATTCAGGGACGGTTAAAGAAGGTGTAGTATTAGAACAGGACTCGTTCGCTTTCCTGTTTGTAGGAAGCATGTTTATTGAATGATCAATTTCACCACAGCCAGCCATCCTAAGAAAAAATACATATAATATTAAAGTAATGTTTTAATGCTTGCAATATCTTAATTCAACAATTATGAAAATAAATACGTATTAACAACCTATTATGTGCATTATATACAAGCCATACAGTAGACAATGGGGATATGAAGATGAAAGTAGAGGAAAAACTCCCCAACCATTGAAAATTTTTTACAAGCGTTTACTTGTACATATCTTGGGAATGTATAAAAATTTCATCAGTGTACTTACGGATCAGCCCTGGAGAAATACACTGAAGAACTATATAATGAAAAGCTGCAACCAGCAAAGAGAAAAAGGGTACCTTGAATCATGGCAGCTATTATACACTGAAATGAATGCTAGACAAGAAACCTAAAAATCTAAGTTTTGGAGTCCTTTATTAATTAAGTGCTCTTAGGCACTCAGTTAAACCTTTAGTCTAAATTTCCTTAAGTGCAAATCAGAGTTTACAAAGCTCAGGTAAAAATGGACCAAAAAGCCCACTTTGTAATCACTAAAGATCCATAAAGGTCACAATCACATGAGACCAAGGGAGAAAATAACATGAATATTGAAGATGCCCCGAAGAGGAGGAAGAAAAAAGATTTGTCAAATTGGATATATCCAGTTTAAACATTGACATAAAATTTATAATTTCTGCTTTACTAATTCAGATAAACATTTACTAAACACCTACCATGGTCCAGATACAATATTAAGTATTAACTGGTCTAAAGATAAATAAGACACACAACTACTCTATTAAATAAGGAAACATATACATGCAGATAATTAATATAGCCTGATTCTTGCAGTAATCAAAATATGTTAACATACTTACTAAAACAGCAATAAGAGAGAGATGAGAAGATGGAGATAGGTTAGAAAGTTTAGTGTTCATTTGGGGGGCCTGGGTAGTGGAGTAGATTCCAGGCAGAGGCATGTGCAAGACAGAGTCAAATAGTCATACAAGCAATGGAAGAGCAGGAGATGAAGCTGTAAAGGTAACCAAAAGCCAAGTCATAAAAGCCTTATTGTGCCCTGCAAAGGAAACATTTGATTTTTTTCCCCATAGTTAAGAAAACAAAAAAAAAAAAACCCAGAAATTTTAAAAGGGGAGAAAATAATAGAGGGAGTAAACCACTGACAAGTAAAAGAGGCTGAGAAATGAAAATGAAGATCGCAGAGATTGGAAGCTTTAAATGAATGACAATCTCTGTACCAGTTAATTCTGCCATTCTAAATAGGTCCAGTAGTTAAGTCAAAAAGAATGGTTATGCTCATCAAAAACTGAAAAACAATAATCCTGGGCTATCTTCACAGCACACCCAATCTTAAAATACTCCTTTTTTTCCTTTTACTGCCTTTTCTGTGTTCTTGGTTCCAAGACAGACAAAAAATAACCCAAAAACCTTAAAAAGATGGAACATATCTAGTCAAGGAAGCAACATAATCTCAATGGAAGAACTGATCACTAAAATGCTTCATTTCCAAATTACTTTTCAACTTTTAATAACATTTCCAATCAATTCCTTTACCAGAAATTCTAGGTTATAGGCATCAACAAAGTACAACTTTTTCCTAACCTATGGAAGAAAAGCTGTAAGTCAGGGGTGTCCAATCTTTTGGCTACCTTGGGCTACAATGGAAGAAAAGGAATTGTCTTGGGCCACACATAAAATACATTAACACTAGTGATAGCTAATAAGGTTTAAAAAATTGCATAATGTTTTAAGAACGCTTAGGAATTTGTGTTGGGCCTCATTCAAGGCCATTCTGGGCCACATATGGCCCACAGGTTGGATAAGCTTGTTCTAAGTCAACCTTAATAGGACTTCTCAATATGTTAAGCACTATAAAAGCTTCCAAATATTTTGAGATAAATACTTGCCTTCAAAGATCTTGTAACTTGAAACAACAATAAGTTACAAGTGAAGGCATATGTTTTTTAAACAACCAATTAACATTCCCTGCCTATTTCCTCCCCTAAAAGAATTGGCTGTGTACACACTTTGTTAGGTTTTCAGAAACTTTCATCCCTTTAAATTTAGGTCAAAAAAATTAGTTTCCATAAAATTCCTGAAAATCCTTTTTTCCAAGTTTCTTTTTTTTTTTTTTTTGAGACAGAGTTTCGCTCTTGTTACCCAGGCTGGAGTGCAATGGGACGATCTCGGCTCACCGCAAACTCCGCCTCCTGGGTTCAGGCAATTCTCCTGCCTCCGCCTCCTGAGTAGCTGGGATTACAGGCACGTGCCACCATGCCCAGCTAATTTTTTGTATTTTTTTTTAGTAGAGACGGGGTTTCACCATGTTGACCAGGATGGTCTCGATCTCTTGACCTCGTGATCCACCCGCCTCGGCCTCCCACAGTGCTGGGATTACAGGCTTGAGCCACCGCGCCCGGCCTTTCTTTTTTCCAAGTTTCATATTTATTTAAAGCCCCAAGTAAGAAAACGAAAACAAGAAAGCGACCCATTTACAAGTAATAATTTAAGAAAGATTCTACTCATGATTCTATTCATAAGACAAAATAGAAAAATGAGCTATGATCATCATTACCTTGGAAAAACAATAGCAACATCTTTATATAGGAAGTCTGTATCTTAAACCATCTAAGTACCTTATGAACAAAGGACAGGCTCATAAATTTAAACCATAAATAAAAATACAAAGTCTGGTAAAATGTAAACAATATACCCAACATGTCACATGGACCAATGCCATGCTTTTAAATACGTAATTTCAAACCTATTGTATTTAAGTAAAATTGGCCCAAGAAGTCAGTTTTCCATCACATACAACTCATTTATCTACCGATAAGAAAGTTTTCAACCTAAAAACATTACCCTCCACCCTACTTACTATGATAATATTTTGTATGACTCTTAACTCTTGCATGTGTGAATAAACCCAAACATGTAATTTCAAAACTAAGAAAGCAATAACAATCATCCCAGAAGGCATGAATTATAACAACAACATAATTGGAAAGGCAAAACAATTCTGTTTGTGCAAGTATTTTGGTTCCAATCATCAGAATGAAGTAAACTTGGACACAGCTAATCTGAAAACAATGGACACCATGCAGCTAAATGGTCATTATTTCATCTGAAGCACTCTTAACTATCAATTTGCCATAGCAATTTATAAATTTGGATTCTGTTAAGAAATGGACAGAAAAACTTAGTAGTATTTCTTATATAATTCTGAATGAGGCACATGCAATAAATAAGAAACAGATAAAATATGTAACAAGATGGACAAAAAGTAACCCAAAACTGCCAGTCTACCTATAAGACATCCTTCAAGGCTTTTAAAAAAAAAACATCTTAATCTACCCTATATAGTCTCGATTTTGCAGTTTCAATGATCTTAAAATAGGTGGGAAGCTAAATGTATGCAGATGATCATACCAATATGTAAATAAGAAATGCTTTATCCCTCCCTTTTTGTAGAGCAAGGATTTGGTAAATAATTAATGCTAATCAAAGAGAGGTATTCCCTATCTCATAAATGTCTCAGAAAATTCTAATTTTGAGTCATTTTGAAAAAGGAAATTTATTTCTAGTATACTAAGAAGAATTTAATATATGGAAATTTGGAGTGAAGTTAGTTCAATTCTGTTAATAAGTACAATACATCACTCATTCAAAGACTTTTTTACTGAATTCTTCATGTGATATTCCAACTATTAAGCATATATCCCCTTCTTCTAATAGATAAACCATGTGAAATACTTCTGCAAGACAAGTAAGAGTCTACCTTATCAAGAAGATAAAATATAGAGGGGTATGGGCAGAGTTAGTGGAAATCTCCAAGTCAGATTTCCTTGAAACTTCTTGAAGGTAACTAGTCAAATGAAAGGAAAATTATTATAAGCAAAAAAAAGTCTTTCGTGTATGTAGTATTGAAGGAATTTTTAGCCAACAATAAACCTTCAAATATTAAAAATCAGATTTTTAAAGTCTGAATTCGGAATCCAATTACAGACACAAAAAAGGGAACAATACTACACATAACTTCAAGGGGCTCAAAGATTTCTATGAAGCTGGTCCACATATGAACCCCTAATGAGACAAGAGGAATTCACTTAAAGGTTTTATGTCAGGAAGTAACAGTCAGTTTAGTAGCTTCCAGAGCATTTGAACAGAAGGTTGGAGGAAAGTTTGGTAATGTGGGAGGAAGTATGGCAGAAGGGAAACTAGAATTTATACATAACCAGGTAGTAATGCCAGGATAAGATAATTAAAGGGAGGATGCTGATATAAGGTTCCAACTGTAGAATGTAAGAAATACTAAGGAAAAAGAAATGAAAGCATATGGTTACTGATGGATGGTGACACATTCACCAAAATTCAGTATTTGAGGACAGTTGTGTCTCAGACATAATGACTTTATTAAGGTGTCCAGGTGGAGATAGGCAAATGACAGTTTGGTACTCTAAGAATAAACCTAAGCTGAAAAAAGTCTGGTGATTCATCAACACATACAAGGTCCTTGGAGCCATGAAAATGAGTAAATGCCCAAACTAAACCTGTAGAGAGAGCAGTCCCAAGGGCCAACCACAGAACCTTGAATTACTCCAATATTTGTAAGGTAAAATAACCAGGAAGGGGTGTAAGGAATGGTCAGAGAAGAATAGGGAACAAACATCACCACCACCACAAAAGCCAACAAGGGAGACATTCGCAAAAAAGAATAAGCAAGTTACTCTATGTGCTGAAAATTTCACCATACAATTCACTTTTGTGTGGTACAAAAGTTGTGAACCCCATACACTTAATAGCAATTTTGGTTTCCTAAACACCATCAATCCCAGTAATCTTTTATTCAGCCAAGACATCTTTCTTTCTCTGTCCCCCAAAGACTATCACAAAACTTCTCCCTCCTAGTTTAGAGATATACTAACACCTGTATAACTGAGAAATTAGATAGGTCAAAAATAAATCCTCAAAATCTATCTTTAGCTCTACTCTGTCTTAATCTTTTTCCTCCTGGCTCAGGATGGGGTACTGCTACTTCTTTACAAAGCTAACCCATCAACAACTAGTTAGTACTGTCCCCTAACTCCTCTAAGACTGATCAGTATACTCTGTTCCTAAGTATCAAAACCAATTAACATCAATTTTATATTAAATAAATGTAAAATTTGGTAATATAGTAAGTACTAAATAAACATTATTCCCTGCAGTTACTCTGAAGTCTCTTTCTTCTTTTATTTATTTTTATTTATTTTTATTTTTTTGAGACAGAGTCTTGCTCTGTTACCAAGTGCTGGGCTGGAGTGCAGTGGCACGATCTCAGCTTACCACAACCTCTGCCTCCCAAGTTCAAGCAATTCTTTTGCCTCAGCCTCCCGAGTAGCTGGGACTACAGGTACATGCCACCATACCCAGCTAATTTTTGTATTTTTTAGTAGAGATGGGGTTTCACCATGTTGGCCAGGATGGTCTCGATCTCTTGACCTTGTGATCTGCCCACCTCGGTCTCCCAAAGTGCTGGGATTACAAGTGTGAGCCACCGCGCCTGGCCCCTGAAGTCTCTTGATTCTACCCTGCCTTCTCACATATGACTATTCCCAGACTCCTGTAAAATGTGTTGATGATTAGGCAGCTGTTTCCCTCCTCATTCTCTTGGCTTGAAAAATATTTCCTAATTTTCTTTGACTGTTAAAATTCTATTCATTCTATAAAGGCAAGGTGAAAGTTATCGTGTTCACTCTGAACCCTTCAGATGAAATTAATCTCTTCCTCTGTTCAGTTTTAATAGCATCTTACTGTGACCTTAATATGGCATCTATTCCACTGTTTGTTAATTACATATGTCTCATTTACTAAATCATAGTAAGTTCCTTGATGACCAGCACCTGGACTATCTGACCTATTAAGACTTTTTTAAATGTATATAGATAAATGGACAGGATTAAATAAAAGATATATTTTAAAGACACATGCTTATTAGTATCATTTTTCAATTATCAAATTTTCATTACTTAACAAAAATGTGGTCATACTTTTAATAATTAATTATTAATACATATCATTACATGTAATCAACATCACATTGGAAGAGTAGAAAGCAAGAGTTTTATGTCAACTGGGAAAATGTGAAATAGCCTCTACCAAGGTCACTCTTGGTCTAATAGTAAAAACACTGTCATTAAAAATCAACAAAATAGGCTGGGCATGGTGGCTCACGCCTGTAATCCCAGCACTCTGGGAGGCTGAAGCACGTGAATCATGACGTTGGGAGATAGAGACCATCCTGGCTAACACGGTGAAACCCTGTCTCTACTAAAAACACAAAAAATTAGCCGAGCATGGTGGCAGGTACCTGTAATTCCAGCCACTTAGGAGGCTGAGGCAGGAGAATCACTCCAACCCAGGAGGCTGGGGTTGCAGGAACCAAGATCGCAACACTGCACTCCAGCCTGGGCAATGGAGCGAAACTCCGTCTCAGAAAAAAAAATTCAATAAAGTATTCACTACATTTTTCATGAATGACATCAAGTTACATAAGGTTCATATTAATTTAGATAACAGAAATATATTCATAGTGAAAAAAATGTTTCATCAATAATAGGGTGAAGTTAAATATGGACAAATCCAAGGTAGTGTGTAACACGTTAAAGCAGATCATGCAAAGACAAATGATGAAAGCACAACTAGTAAAACTGGGGATCAGACTGAAGTAATATGAATAAAAAGCAATAACGTACTACATTAAAAAATCAATTATGTAGAAATTCCTTTAATTTAGTGAAACAAGTTTTTAGTAACTAGTGTTTTTATAACCCAGTAGTCTGTCTTATTTATAAATGCTAGTACTACTTGCCTAGCTTAGTTATTTAAGAAAATTATTATGTAAAAAGAAAGTAGAACCCAGAGGACCTGGAGATCTCTGCAGTATTTTAGCCTTCTATGAACAAACTCCTCTGTCTTCAGTTTTTCTTACAGAGATTCTCCCCTCTGAGGAGACTTGAAATCTACATTAACGCTAATTTAATGTAAATATATTGTTAATAAAGTACCTATAAAGCAACAGAAAATGTTCATTTTATATAATTAAAGCTAAACATGACAGATACCCAATTTACTATACTGTAAACCAATCCACTTAATTTACTGCAGCACTAAAAAAACCATGATGCTACACTTACATTTCTATTACAGATCCCACAGATGCCTGCCACAAAAATAAAGCATCTTCTTCACTAGCAGTCAGCCAGCTTGCAATACTTTCTCTTCCACTGCTGGTTCATTCTTTATGCTGAAAAAAAAAAAAAAAAAAATCAACATCAACTTTTCTACAGACTAAGATCAATAGAATCAGTTAATTATCTATAACTTTTCACAAAATTCAGTGGAACACTTTATCTTAAAAGTGGAAAAAATTAAAGACAAGATGCATGCTTTTACCCCTGCTACTCAACATGACTGTAAGTTCTAGCAGAGCAAATTAGGGAAAAGAGATAAGGCATACAGATGGATAAAGAGGAAGTAAAACTATATCTATTCTCTCTATATAGAAGATCTCACAGAATCCCCAAGAAAGCTAATAAACAAATTCAGCAAAGTTGCAGGTTACAAGTTTGACACACACAAAAATCAGTTGTGTTTTGATACATCAGCAGTCAACAATCCAAAAAGGAAATCAAGAAAGCAATTCATTCATAATATCATCTAAGGGAATAAAATAGCCAGGAATCAACTTAACCAATGAGGTGAAAGATTTGTACACAGAAAACTATCAAGCATTACTCAAAGAAATTAAAGAAGAGCTACGTAAATAGACAAGTAATGTATGGATTGGAAGATTTAACATATTAAAATGGCAATACTACCCAAAGTGATCTACAGATTCAACATAATTCCTATCACAATTCCAACAACCTTTTTTGAAGAAATGGAAAAGCAATCCTTAAATTCATATGGAATTACAAAGGACCATAAGTAACCCAAACAATCTTGAAAAACCCAATGTCAAAACTTACTACAAAGCTAAGGTAACAAGACAGTGTGGTGCTGGCATAGGATAGATGAATACACCAATGATATAGAATTGAGAGTCCAGAAATAAACTGACACATCAATAGCCAACTGATTTTCCAAAACGGTGTCAAGTCCACTCAATGGGGGAAAGAGGAACCTCTAACTAATGTTGTTGAGACAACTGGAGTTCCATGAGCAAAAGAATAAAGCTGGACCTCTACCTTACACTATATATCAAAGTAAACTAAAAATGAATCAATAACCTAAGTCTGAGAAATAAAACCATAAAACTCTTAGAAGAAAACATAGGAGCAAATCTTCATGGCCTTAGATTTGGCAACGGATTCCTAGATATGACATCAAAAGCATGAGAAACAGGAAATAAATTGGACCTTATAAAAGTTTGCAACTTTTGTGCATCAAAAGACACTGTTAAGAAAATAAAAAGACAAACTGCAGAATGGAAGAATATCTTTGCAAATCATATAGCTGATAACGGTTTAATATCCAGAATATGTAAAGAACTACAGCTCAACAATAAAAGGACAAACCAATTAAAAAGTGAACTAAAAATAAGCAAAGAATTTAAAGATATGCAAATGGCCAATAAGCACACAAAAAGATTCTTAACATTATTAGTAATTAGTGAAATATAAATCAAAATCAAAATTATACATCTGTAAGAATGCTACAATTTTTTTTTAAAGGAAAATAAGAAGTGTTGGTAAGGATGTAGAAAAACAGGACCTTTGAACACTGCTGGTCGGAAGGTATAATAGTGTAGCTGCTGTGAATAATTTGTTGCTTCCCTAAAAAGTTAAAAACAATTGCCAATATAACACAGCAATTCCACTCCCAAGGATACAGCAATAGAATTGAAAACAGGTTCTCAGATACCCATATGCCAGAGTTCACTGCGGAAATATTAGGCAAAAGGGGGACACAATTCAAGTATCGATCAACAGATGAATGCATAAACAAAATGTGGTCTATAAATACAACAGTACATTATTCGGTAATAAAAAAGAGTATGTGCTACAACATAGATGAACCTTGAAAACATACTAATAAGCCAGATACACAAAAGGATTGTATGATTCCACTTATATGAAATATCAAGAATAGGCAAATTCATAGAAGCAGAAGGTATCAGAGGTTACCAGGGACTGGGGAAAGGAAAGAATGGGGAGTTATTGCCTAATGGGTACAGAGTTTCAGTTTGTAATGCTAAAAAAAGTTGTAGAAGTTGATAATGGTGATGGTTGCACAACAATGTAAATGAAATTAACCACATGGAATTGTACTCTTAAAAACTGTACCATCTCAGTCATTAATCTCCTTTCTTCTCATTTAGTATTTCCTTCTCCACTTCACAATGTCCACTACGGGACGCAAATCACATTACACAGAACTAATAATCAAGAATACAAGCTAACTAAAGAAATGATAGATCTCACAGTAAACACAAGATAGAAGACCTTTTAGTTCCATGTGGCTCTCTTACTATAGGTGTCTATTTCCCTAAGGTATCTTAAGATTCGAGTGTTTAAAGAAACATAATGCCATATGTGACCTCTAAATACAAGCTGACTTACCCTACCAAATGTTTAACAGAACAAACAATTTGTTTTAAAATCAGAGAACTTTCAAAAGTAACTGACTGTGATGGTTAATACTGAGTGTCAACTTGATTGGACTGAAGGATACGAAGTATTCATCCTGGGTGTGTGTGTGAGCGTGTTGCCAAGAGTTTAACATTTGAGTCGGTGGGCTGGGGAAGGCAGATCCACCCTAATCTGGTGGGCACAATCTAATCAGCTGCCAGTGAATATAAAGTAGGCAGAGAAACCTGACAAGGATAGACTGGCCTAGCCTCCCAGTCTAATCTTTCTTCCTTACTGGATGTGTCCTGCCCTCAAACATTGGACTCCAAGTTCTTCAGTTTTGGAGCTCGGACTAGCTCTCCTTGCAGACAGCCTCTTGTGGGACCCTGGTAACTGTGTAAGTTAATACTTAATAAACTCATATATATATATATATATATATATACACACACACACACACACACACACACACACACACACACACATATTAGTTCTGTCTCTCTATAGAACCCTAATATACTGACTAAACAAGGTTTCTAAGTATCCTGGCTTTTTGTTTTATCTGATTTTAGATGATATGGACCCCAATGTTTTGACTTTCCTTCCAGCCCTTTCACCACCCTCTAAGTGCCTACAACTTCAAAGGTATCAAAGAAGGCTATGTTCATTTCCTTGCTGCAGCCTACTCCAAACAGAAACTACCTATTTTCATATACACCCATATACTCCCTGTATATGGGACGGGGGAGACAATTTACTGCTCCAACATCATTACTTATTCTTTCAAGTCTCTATTACTGACTTTAACATCCCCTAAAACTGCTCTCTCACCACCTTTAAGGGATTAATGTCATCTTTTCACTACTGATCATCCTCTTCACCCTAACTCTTGACATGACCATAAGCCTATTTAAATATCCTTGAAAATGAACCATCTAATACTTATTGAACAGGTCACTTGACTTGTCCCAACTTCTGTTCATCAGAATCACTGAAATTGCTTATTAGAAATACACATTCTTGGCCCCTTTCCTTAGAGATTCTAGGCCAGTAGACATAGGTTTAAACCTAGGAATCTCACCCCAGGTGGTACTCATGCAGGTAATCCTTCAAATACAATCTGAGAAACATTGTCCTCAATTTTCAGTTCCTTAAACACAAAATTTGAAGAAATTAATCTCCTCTCTGGCAACCAAATATTGTGATCACATTTGAAATTGTTGCCTAAACTGCTGCCTCTCTGAAATCTTAATATGCCTCTCAGATCACAAGCTCTGGTCCTGCCAGCTTACTCATTCCCACACCTGCTCTTCAATTTCATGGGGACCTACAATCTCTTGATCATCTCCTTTCCTTCATCCAGTTCCTGATCTCATTTTCTTTCCTGTCCATTCTTGAACCCAATCTTTTTTTTACTTCTTTCCTGACAGAACCCTTGGCCCCCCTCATATCTTTCTCTCTCATATACACACATTTTCCAAACCCCCATTTCTGTATAATTCTTACAATATGACATCTAAGTTTATGCCTTATCTACTTTGTGTTCACGGAAAAAAAGAGAAAGATAAAGTCACGACATAGCCTCCTGCTCCCCACACCTCAACCAACACCACCACAAATTCTGTTATCTTTTATCCAAAACCCCTTTGGAATCTATCCTGTATGCTCTACCCATTGCTGGTGCCCTATTTTAGACCTGTATCATCTCTCATCTATTTTTCAGCCTGATTATCTTGTGTCAGTATCACCCTCAAATTCATTTACTAAGCCTTTGAGATTCTCCCTCTCTCTCCCTCCCTCTCCCTCTTTCTTTCTCTTTCTCTGTCTGTTTCCCAGGCTGGAATGCTGTGGCATGATCATAGCTCACTATAATGTCAAAACGGCTTGGCTCAAGGGATCCTTCCATCTCAGCCTCCCAAGTAGCTAGGACTGGGGGATATATTTTAAAGGTAAAATGGACCAGGTTTCTTCCATATGTGAAAGCCCAATATGGCTCCTTAGCCTACACAATAAAGACAAAACTCCTTAGGACAACATCCGAAGGTTTTAAAGATGGGAACTGTAAATAACTCTGTAGTCTTTTTTATCTTCAGCAACCACCCACAGATTAATAATCTAGTTGAATCACATTACTCACAGTCTGCAACCCTCCCTTTGTAGTTCTGTATTTCCTCCTGCCTGGTACAATCTATTCCCTTTTACAGCTTATGAATGCCTATTTGTTCTTTAATATATTACACAGAAGTGGTTATCCCAACCATTTTCTCTACCTCCAGAAAGCTAATTGTTCTCTCCTCTATATTTTGTGTTTTTCTATTACTGAATTTATTATATGCACTAATTTCATTCATTTGTGATGTCTGACTCTTCTATTAAATCATGAACCCCCTGAAGATTGGGACCTTTTTATATTTCTAAGTAAACTGTCAATCAATTTTTGTTGAACTGATATTTTTTGGATGAATGAAAAATGAACTTCTAAAAGTAACTATTGCGAGAAATAGAGTATCAAAGGATTAATTTATTCAAATAACACAACACTCGAGTTCTAATTGTGAACAAGGCACCCAGCCGGTGCCTATAAGTTACGTAAAAATATGTAGTTCTAATCCTTTCTTTATATAACTTTAAATCTAAAGGAGTTCTTACATTTACAAATATAAAATTCAACCCA